TTCTAAGGCTTTACGACCTAGTGTGGTCTCTCCTGTCTCTGTGAACACATGAAACCCAGAGAGGCCAGAGGTAACTGAAGCAGGATGCCGCCGTGGCAGCACCGAGAACCTGACAATATGGAATGATGTCATAATGTTGAACTTTACCTGAGCCCTATGCTCCTGAAAAACAGCCATGGGAACCCCCCCCACCACCACCACTTACACACACACACTTGTATGTCTGGGAAATGGTTTACTGCAAAGTACTACTGTTATGGTCTGAGTGTTTCTGCCCCAACCCCCAACCCAAAATTCATATATTGAAATCCCAAGGCCCAAAGTGATGGCATTAGGCGTTGATTAGGTCCTGCCTGAGGGCAGATCCCTCATGGATGGTATTAGTGCCCTTTTAAAAGAGGCAGGAGAGAGATCCCTCAGCCTTTTCACCATGTGAGGACACAGCAAGATGTCATGTACAAACCAGGAAAGCAGGCCCTCACCAGACACTGCATCTGCTCGCACCTTGATCTTGGACTTCTTAGCCCCCATAAGTATGAAAAAGAAATTTCTTTTGTTTATAAGCTATCCAGTTGATGGTATGTTGTTATAATAGCTGAACAGACATTACAACCACCCTTTCCCATATGACATAGATAAGACTCATAGATGGCCCCCTTGTTTACCTATGACAAGTCTACACAGACGCTGTATTAGTCATTTTCTCTCTTATAAAGGAATACCTGAAAATTGAAAATTATAAAGAAACAAAATGTATTTCTTAACGTTTTGGAGGTTGGGAAGTCCACAGCCCCAGGGGCACATCTGGTGAGTCTTCTGGGTGGGGACTCACTACAGTCTTGGGGCAACACAGGCCATCACATGCCAAGAATGACAAGATTTCTCTCATGTACTCTCCTTATAAAGCCACCAGTCCACACCCACGACAACCCATTAAACCTTTACTCCATGAACGGATTAACCCATTCATGACAGCTTAGTTCCCAGGATCCAATCACCTCTGACAGGCCCCACCTTTCAAATACAATAATCAGATTTCCCACCCTCTAACGCTGTTACAACAGGAGCCGTCAAGTTTCCAGTTTGTGACCTTTTGGGGAACATTCAATCCATAGTACCCTCCAAGTTCCCAATCTATATCTCATAAATGATTAGCTGAGCTGCTTGTTCCCATTGATTAAACAAAGAAAATTCCTGTAAATTTAATTTGACCAAACTTGTCTCCTTCCCACAGGACCCTGAAATTTAACTGGTCGTTAAAGTTAAAGAAGCACTGGGACACCAAAGAATCCCTCTCGAAAACTGGCGACCACAGGAAAGATCCTTCTTGCTCGACTGTTGGATCTCATCACCCACTCGTCCCACTTCCCCACTCCGTCCTTTCTAGGCTTATTTACTCCTCCCTGTAAAAGAAAAGTCTTTTTCTGACTAATCTTGGAGATGCCTGCAGATCTTATGATCAGAGCAGTCTCCAGATTGCAACTCTCCTCCTCCCCCCATTGCAATCATCTTTTTTCTTTTTCCTTGATAAACTTTAGTTATGAGAGCAATTTTAGGTTTACAAGAAAAAAAATGCATCAAAGTACAGCGTGGGGCCGACCCCCTGGCTCACTCGGGAGAGTACAGGGCTGGGAGCGCAGCGGCACTCCCGCCATGGGTTCGGATCCTATATAGGGATGGCCAGTGCACTCACCAGCTGAGCGCAGTGCGGGCGACACCAAGCCAAGGGTTGCGATCCCCTTACTGGTCACAAAAAAGAAAACAAACAAACAAAAAAAGTACAGCGTGCCCATATGCCTCCCTCCAACTCCCACCCCTTCGACAGTTTCCCCTATTATTAACATCATGCATTCGTGTGATAGCAAGGATACTCTACAAAGTTCATGGAAAGCTTTGCATTCTCTTTTAATTCTATTTTTCCATGATCTTTGTGAAGTACCCTTGTATTTGTTGCAGCTGATGAACAAATACTGACACACTGTTACTAGGTAAAGTCCATAGTTTACATTAAGGTTCATTCTTGGTCCAATTCTATGGCTTTTGACAAATGCACAACATCATGTACCCACCAGTACAGTGTCATACAGGAGAGTTTAATTGCCCAAAAAATGCCCTGTGTTCACCCTATTCATGCCTTCCCTCTTACCTAAGCCCTGGCATCCACTGGTCTTTTTACTGTTTCTATAGTTTGAGCCTTTCCAGAATGTCATATATTTAAAATCATACAATATGTAGCTTTTTCAGACTGGCTTCTTTCACTTAGCAATATGCATTTAGGGTAACTCCAAGTTTATGGGGGCATCATTGCTCATTTATTTTGGTGATAAATAATATTCCATTGACTGGGTGTATCACAAGTTCATTCATCCACTGAAGGACATATTGGCTTCTCCCAATTTGGTAGTAATGAATAAAGCTGCTATAAAAACATTCAAATGCAGGTTTTTGTGTGGGCATAAATTTTCAACTCATTTGCATAAACAGCTATGAGCACAATTGCTGGACTGTATGATAAGCCTACACTTAGCTTTTAAGAAACTGGCACCCTCTTCTTATACTGTGTCCCCACTTTGCATTCTCACCAGCAATGGAAGGAGAGTTCCTGTTGCTCCACATACTGGCCAGGATTGGGTGCTGTCACTGTTTTGGATTTTAGCCATTCTAATAGGTGTGTAGTGGTATCTCATTCTTGTTTTAATTTGCAATCACCTAGTGATATATGACGCTGAGCATCTTTTCATATGCTCATTTGCCATTTAGACATCTTTTTAAACACATTATTGCACTTATTACTTTGAACACTGTTATCTGAGTAAAGGATTTTATTTTACTTTCATGTTTTCCTTCTCAAACATGCTTTCTTTATTTAGGTAGAACTGAGATTCTGAACTATATCATTTTCCTGTCTCCTGAAAAAACATGTTTTAAAATTTCTTGAGAGGCAAGTCTAATGGCAACATATTCCTTCAACTTTTCTTTGTCTCCTCCTTCACATCTAAAGAATTTCTCTGTATGCAGTAAATATTATTCAGTAATCTTTTCTATAAAGACTTTCTTTAGCTAAGTCTAGATTTGTTTTATTTGACAATGATTATACCTATATGTTCACTAGATGTCATTTCATTTCCATCAGAAAATCATGAAAATAACTTCTTGTTTATTTCTACAGTAAGAACGCTGAAGATCGTCGGGTCAAGGATAGCCTGGCCCAATTGAGATGTCACTTAACATAGAAGTTTCTAATTGAAAACTCAGAAATACCAGATTGAGAAAACACGGTCTTGGAAGAGATTGAGTTTTAGACACCAAGTACAATGTGGGAATACACAAC